GGCCGCCACACTGCTGGTGGCGGCCCCTGCTGTGATCTGATTACGTATGTCTGGTGTCCTGTGATCGGCTGTCCCCACCGTTACTGCCGTCGTCTTTTCAGGAGTGTTAGCTGCTAGCAAAGTTGCTGCACTTATAAAGTTAAGTTTAAACAAATTGTACTTGTAAAAGAAATTGTTATTGTATATAACTTAAATCTTAAATTTAATACCATTCAGATTACACCATAATTATGTCTTAGCTTATTCTGTTTCACTCAATAATTCTAATGCGATGGGGTGCTTTCTTCTAAATTAAGGAGGAAAAAAAAAAAAGGAACGACACCCCATAAATTCCAACCCGTTGACAAATTATATATCATAATCATTCTAATCTTCAACACGAAAGAGAACCGGTAAAATGATCTCCATATGACCAATAGGTCACGTGTTCGAGCTATGAAAGCAACCACTAATCTTGTATTAGACTATGCTATTTACATCACACCACTTGGAATGTGGTCCTTCTCCGGATACTTGTGTACTGAGCTGCCCTTTTCTTTTTATTCTTATCTTCTTGTAACATTTTTGGATGTTATTGAGTGGACAGCTTGGATAATGTTATTTTTCAATTGTATCCATTTTGATTGCAAAAAATGTTCGTGGCATAATCATTTCATGAAGTCATAGCTCACCAAGAAAATCTTGGCAATCTTTAAAGAAAACATTAGCAAAAGGACAATATCTAATAAGATAATGGAAAGAAAGAAAAAGAATTAGTATACTAGTCAGTAGTCCCTAAAACGGGAGAGCTCACGTGCACCTATATTATATAAATTACAAACTAATGGCGTACGTAATTGGCACATCTAGGATTGAAGATCAGAGTAATTCACCTAAGATGATTTTTAAAGGAATTAACGAAACGACAAGGCAACTAAGCTAAGTACTATAATAATACTTAAATAAAATTTTGATCTTGTAAAGTACTACCATATGAAAATAACGAGACAGAGTGGATTTCTTAAGATGTGAGTTGTTTAGTGAAACTATATATGTTTGTCGTGCAAGTGCATGGTGCATGTTTAGGCACGTTTGTCACTTAATAACTCTACGATGGTCAAACTAAATCCTTCATAATAATTAGTATCATTATTGCTATTATCATAATTGCTTATAATACTACCCGTGGCGGACCCACCATTTGAAATTGGCAGGGTTACCAATGTCGAATAAAAATTTAAGTAAATGCTGGAGTCTGAATCAAAACCAAGCAACACTCTAAAATTTAAGGTGTGCCCCTTTAAATCGGCCAATGAAGTTGCCTAATTTAAATTTCAGGGTGTCAATCAAAATATATTACTTGTTATTTAAGATATATACACGTATAAAAATAAAAAAATTCAAAGTTATCGGGGTCAGTGACTCCCGTACCCAAAGGGTAGGGTCCGCCTATGAATATTACGATTAAAGAAGCAAATTTAGCATCTACCTCAGAAAAAAAAAAATCTGAATAAATAAACCTCAAAACTCTGAAAACAGGACGTATTTTTCGGTGGGTGATTTTAGCATTGATAGAATTAAATTAAGATAGTTGATTAAATTCAAACAATCTTTAAATGATGCAGTTGTCATTTTATCCTAGCTTGGTAGGTAATTGATCTCTATCTCGTCTGTACATATTTTATTAAAACTACAGCAGTGATTACGAACTATAGACATGAACTGCTAAACTTTAAAAAACATAATATATCTCAATCCTTCTAATTTATCTCTCCTTTGGAGGATACATATAAGTGATAATACGATTGTGCTTCTTTTCCAAGGAACTAAAAATTACAACAAGGAGATTAAATTGCTATATTTAGGACTCAAAATTGCAATCTAAAACCATTTTACGAAATGTATATTTTTAGTGGCTCTAAAAAAATAACAGTATAAAATATATACTATATTTTTTGTATGTANATTTTGCCCAACAATTATAAGTCACCTTTGTCACTATACCAAGGTTATTCCTTATTTATGGACGATTCAACTATTTTTACATATACAAAAGGAATTATTTTTACCTTGTTTACGCAATTTAAATTCTTGATGAAGGGATTCAATTGAAACTATTCGGACCCAAAAAAGAATTGTGGACAAATTGGTCAATATTTTTTTACCAGTGCTTTTGCTGGAGACGGGTAAGGAGAGAAAAACATAGTTAGTGGACTTAAAACCTCAAGAATTTTACCAGCTACTCCATATGTTTCGTTTATATGATTTTTTTCGCTTTTTTAGATTTAATTATGTAAATTTTGACCAATATTTTAAAATGTATCTTTTTTATCATAGTGACATTAAAAGAATTGTAACTTATAGTAATTCTGTAAATAGTTTTTGAATATAAAAAATTATAACTTTATGATATTAAGTTAATCTAATTTAATTTAGCTTCAAATTAAAAGCTAAAAAATTCACATAAACTAGAACGGGGAGTGATTGATTTTAGCAAACTACTGTTAAATACTTCAACATTGAAGAAAGTGAACAAAAAATGAAGAACGAAAAAAAATCTATTACCTCTTGGTGAAGTCGCCATTAGGTTAGTGTCTTTCTCATTCATAGCGTTAAAGTTTGTTCTTTTCTCGCCGCCTCGCAATGAACCCTTTCTTGACAAGTTTCTCTGCAACTTTTTTCATTCAAACCATTAGTCTAAAGAAGAAGAAAAAAAAGAACACCCCC